AAAAAAAAAAAGAAAAGAAAGGGCATTGTGTGGGACAAAGGCATGATATTTTCACAAATTCCATTGCCCGACTGAAATAATGGCGAGCCCAAACTCAGAGCCCAACTCCTCACTTCTGACCTAACCGCCTTTTATCCGCCGCCTCTAGCTGTTTCCGCCACCGCCTCTCCACCGTGTAAGGTAATAGAATAATCTGATCCTCTATTCTTCAAAAATTCCCATGATTATCGGCGATTGAAGGTAACGTTTCTCACAGCTGCAACAGCTTTTAAGCTTATGATAGAAATTATCTTTGTTTCATTTAAATTGATCTTTACGATTCGAGACAAATGCCCTTAGATTCATGTTTTTTAGGATTTTCAGAAATCTTGAGATTTTCAGGTATCATTGGTAAGTATGATTGAAAAAAGCTCGATCGAAATGCATATTTATTGTGTCTGAATTTTTCCACATGTAGCAATTACAAATGCAAGATCGGCCTTTTTTTTTTTCTTTTTCTTTTCCTAATTTATTTTATTTTTTCAGAAAATTAGTGATGTAAGTGAAGGATTATAGAGGTACCTAGATTTGGTGAACAAGTGTGGCTTCCTCTGTTAGTTGCAGAAGAATAAGTTCAAGCTGAAGCTTCTTTAATTCTTCTCTTTTTCCTCTTCTTTCCCTTTTCATGTTATGAATTTTGTTGCTTTGTTTTGAAGAATTCGGTTATATTGGTTCGATCCGTGTACATTTGGATTAAAATTATATACATCCTAATTGCCCATATCACAAATTATGGCTAGTGTTTGCATCACATTCTGTCTTTGTTAGTACTTTCCCTGCAATTGTTGTCTCTATGAGCTTAAAGTAACCCAAACATGCATTTCTATGAGCCAACCAACCAGAAACTATCTCTGTATTAACTTTTACATTTAGTTTGGTTACATCGAGCCTTTTCGTTTACCTTGACCGATTTCATTTGGCTATCCCATCTTTTCTATTCTCTTGGTTGTCCATCATCTTCACTTGTTTATGATTTAGCTTGGTATTTTCATGGGATGTGAACATGTGATCTCAAACTCAATTTTGATTACCAGCACAAACAAAGAAAAGGGGGAGAAAAAAAAAAAATGGTTAGAGCCTACTCTCAAGAACACACCTACAAGCACCCATGGGATCGCGTGACTTCCGCCTCGTGGCGAAAATTCGCTGACCCGGAGAACAAACGTACCCTCTCCCACATCCTCGAAGTCGACACCTTAAACCATAGGCTTGAGCCGAGTTCCGGAAAACTCTACACGACTCGTGCCATCACCATCCATGCCCCGGGCCCGTGGTTTGTCCGCAAGATCATTGGCCAGGAGATGTGCCACTGTGTGGAGTCCACAGTGGTCGATGCCAAATTGCGGTCCATGCAGCTCGCCACACGCAATATCAGCCTCCAGAAATTCATTGAGGTTGAGGAGAAGATTAGGTACGACCCGCACCCGGATAACCCGAAAGAATGGACACTGTGCAGGCAGGAAACGAGCATAAGGATCAAGCCTCTCTCGGCACTTGCTTCCATGGCCGAGAAAATCGAACAGAAATGTGTAGAGAAGTTTCAGCATAACAGCGTCAAGGGGAGGGAGGTTATGGAGAGAATGTGCAAGTACCTCGAAGCTGAGTCTAGGGGAATTTCTGTCTGAAATTTATTTTTGTTTTCTTTTTGTGTTCTTTTATTGGGAAGAACTTGTGGATTTTTGCAGTTCTGTGTACGAGTATAGCTTTGAGTAGCAGATTTAGGTTAAAACTTTTCTGACAGAATAGATCGACGAAAAGACTTCGTCACAGTCGTATGAATCCTGTCTTTAACATTAATGTATGGTTGTAATAATGGGATATATTGGTACTTGGATGTGGTAATAGGACATCCAAAGTTCATGATGCTATCATCAATATACCTATGCTTTTGCATGTTGAGGTTACTAGCTATGTAATGTTGATGTTCATTCTACTATTTTTTTGAATTTTGGTTCCAAACAGCTTGTCTTTCCTTGGGTTTTGATGTTTAAATACTGATTGCTTTCGCACTAAGACTGATACATACAGTACCATTATGCTTTGACAATCTCCAGTTCAATGTCATGAATTCATTCATTCAATCAATCATACATTGTTCTTCTGTTGCCAGAGTAACCATTTGCAAATAACAAATCCAAGCAATACATGAAATTAAGCAATATGTAGTAGTAACTGTGGCATAAAACTACACAAGATTTGCTAATACTCTAAAGATCGAGCACATCAATTTCTCACAGAACCTTCGTTGTAAACCCGAAGCATATTGAATAGTATGGCATTCAGCGAAAACCTAAACCCAGATTGCATAGTGTAAGACATAACTCCTTTTCAACAAACTGGCTACCAGAATCTCAACTTCTGTGGGACACAAACTGGCTACCAGAATCTCAACTTCTGTGGGACACAAACTGACCAACATCACATACTTCCGATTTCACATCAGATTTTAGGTGGATAAAGTTCCCATAACGCCACTGTAGCATCTTCCGAAGATGACGCTATAAGTTTACAATTATCCGAAAACGAAACAGCATTACACGTCCCGTGATGATACTTCAACACAGCCAGAGCATTTCCTCTGCGGTAATCGTACACCCTTATCCTGTGGTCCCACCCGGCTGTAGCAAAAATCTTACCATCGGCTCGGATTGAAGTCCCGGCCAAACCGGGCCTCTCCAGAACAATCTCTCTCTTCACCAAACAGATCCCGGCACAAGAATCCATCGTGAAAATCACAATCTTATCATCAGCAGAACCCGAAACCCCGCCCTGGCGCGAACTATCCACACAAAGGCTCATAACAGGCTCCGTATGGAACTTCACGAGTGTCAAAGCCCGGCCCGGATTCCTCACATCCCACAAAGCCATGGATCCATCCTCGTAGCCGGACACAACATTCACATTATTATTACCCAGCGGCGAAAAAGCCTGAACCGCCATGCACATTCCTCTTGACTTGGCCTTATCGAGGGAGTTCGTGATTTGAGGCAATTTCACGAGCCTTTCCGCATTATTCACATCCCAAATCTCGACCACAGACAAATCTTCCCCGGCTAGGGCAACGTGATTATTACTCGTTCGATCTTCTGAACCTGAAACCTGGCTTTCTCGTTCGTTCTCGGACGAGAGCTGGATTTTCGAGTGGGGCCCGTTTAAAAGCGAGAGCTTGCAGAAGTGGTACGAGTTGGTTTTGATGGTGGTGAGAGGGTTTCTTGACAAGCCTCCTTCTCCAATGTCCCAGCACTTGATAGTCCCATCCCTTCCCTGCGTAATTACCCTTTCGTCCCCAGCAGCAGCAACGCTGATTATGCCGTGAGCCGCGCTGTGAACCCAGGACGACGAAACCGTGCGGTGCTGTAAGGTGTCCCAAATCCGGAGTTCGCCGTCGGCCGAGCCGGTGAATAAGACGTTCCTGAGAGGATGGAAGCAGACATCGGTGACTGACGCGCGGTGGCCTCTGAGGACCGCCACCGGATCCGGGGGAGGTCGCTTGCTCATTTTGAATTTTCTGCTTTTATTCCGTTTTCTTGAACTTGGATGGTCACTCAGACAATATATCAAACAGTTTATGTGCAGTGCATCAAACTCGTCTTGGTAACCTTTAAATACCGCTCTTCAAGTGAATATCAGAGCGCCGTCGAGGTGACGAATTGAATACAGTGACGGGAATTTGAGTTCGGATTATTTGAAATTATGGGAACATTTGGGCAAAGAGACCCACAGCAGCTTCCAGGCTTCGTGTTTATTGTGGTGTATTCATTTGGATTCGTTAGGGTGTGATTGGATTGGATATAAGTTTTTTTTTTTTGTGTTTT